AAAAATTATTTAATAAACAAAATAATTAAGAAAACCAGCTTTATATAACACTCAGAAAAACAGGTTCAAATTGCGTTGACAAATCCCATATATATACCAAAAATGCGAAATGCACCTTTAGCATTTTACAGTAATTTGAATGCCACAAATACAATCAATTTGTATTTTTCTGGCAGCTGCAGATATCTGAATTGAATTGCAGTATTTTTTTGATTCCCAGAATTCTACCCGAATTGAATTCGCACTCGAATAAGAGCAATCCAATTCGTAGCATTAATTTGAGGCACATTTTGGATCATTTTTTTTCCGTTTGGTGTTTTTTATTTTAAACAATAAAAAGTTGTTTATCACGGACTGCCACAAGCACGCGGCCGAACGCATTTAAATGAGCCGCAAACAACAATTATTGTAAATGCTTCTGCACATATACATATAGATATATATACATCTACAATTTATATATATATACATGCATATATTTTGCAGCCATATTTATTTGTGATTTTTATGCAGAATGCATAAATTGTTTGCAATTGACGGAAGAGTCAGCAGAACAAACGTCGCCCAGCCAGCAATAAATATAAAAACAATATGTATTCGATTATTCAATATTGATACGCAGAGCTATTATTTGAAATGAGCTTTAAGTCATAAATTGATCCCTCTGATCCTGTATAAACAAAGCAAATGGCTGCAAAAATTGCAGAGCTTTCATCTGCAACATTGTGTAAAGCAAGAGTTTAGGGCTTTCAACTATTTGTTTATGCTTTGAGCTTTAATATAAGATAAAATGAAATTCAAGTTTTGGCTGAATTTTTCATTTATACATATTTTGAGCTTTTGGATTAAGCTACTGACATTTTAAAGCTTTAAGCTTAAGAATATGAATATATTATTTTAGATAACAAATTCAAGATCCTAACATTGTAGAGCTTCTATATCAGGAAGCATTACTTCCTATACACATACATATTTACTCGTAGCTCAAATCGTTCCAATTTTTTAAAACATTGCCAAAGAGCTTTGAGCTTAAGTTCAAGCTTAAGCTGCATAAAGCTAAAAGCTAATTCGTAAAACTTTTCATCTGTATTGCATTCTTGAATTTAGTTTTTAATCCACTTTTTCAGCAATTGTTTTTGAAAGTTGAGTAAATGGCAAAAGTTTTCAATCAATGCAAGATTACTCGAAATGTTTATTATTTATCGTTGATTACCGGGCGAAAACATTCTAATGAAGTAATCAGAAATTGTTTGTTATGCAAACAATGGGAAAATGTAGTTGAATCAGTGCATGCTGTGACTCAACTCGGCTCTGCTGCTAAAATCAACTATAAAATTAATTAAAGGTAACAATCGGAGTTTAGCTGGACGCCAAGCGAATGGAAACAGGTCAGTGCATAAATTGCAAGAAAACGGCAAAGCCGGAAGACAAACGACAAAAACAGTAGAAAATTGAATGTAAAGAGACAAAGAGTGTGTGGTGGAGAGGGGGTGAGAGAGAGGCACTGGGACAGACAGACAAAGGCAGCGGCGACAACTTCATGAATTGTGCAACGAGCATACAGAAGCGCCCAAAA